CCGTTACAGAATAATTATGCATTTTCTGATTTTCTGCCTTTGAATGAGCAAGTGTAAGTTGGTCCAAGGTTGGAGTCAAACGCAAAACAAGTTGTTGGAACGAACTGTCATGTTTTTAGAATCCTCTCAGACATAAATATACAGGTTTTGGCACCTGTTTCTGAAACGCGCCAAAACAAAACTCTCTCTGTCTGTGAGAACATTTCTGATCTTTCCATAACAATTCTTGCTGCATTCTAACCTTTTACGTCACAAAACACACCCCGTCTGGTCGGTTCTGGCCAATGGGAGACTCCCGTATGGACCGGGAAAAGGGCTCTTTAAAATGTCGGTACTTCCTGGTCTACTCAGATCTGTAAACTACTCAGTTCTGCTGGAGTGCTGTGAGGGTTCCACTCGGTTCGGTGGAGTTCAGTTCTGTCCAGTTCTGTGCGGAGAAGCCCAGTTCTGGGAGACGGGAAGATCCTGACATGACAACAGAGCTCTTCCGAGGTTCATGGGATTATAACATTTTCCACTGAGGTGAGCTGTGAGGGACAAAAAGCTGCTACTCCGGAGGAGTAACAGCATCCTACGGAGACGCTGAAGGGTGCGTTAAACGGAATCTCGCCTGAGACATCTCCAGGTAAAAGAGTCGATTTCACCACCGAAGTGTACCGTAAGAAAAGCTGAAGAAAGCCCAGAGAGTGCCGTTCTGTTAACACACTCCCTCAAACCCCATCTTTTACTCTTCTTTAACTTCTTTCCCATCTTGAAACTTTTCTCTCAAGTAGAAATTCTTCCAGATATTTAGAAATGTCTGTGTAAAGTGCTCATCCACATCCGTGTGGGTAAAAGATCATAATTGTACAGTTTTCATAAATGTCTGTGGTGAAGCAACGGAAAAATCATGGCCGTACGATTTTTCCTGATTGATTGCTTATGTTGTTATTTTCATAATTTGCCAAATTAATGTAAATGTTTGATGTTAAACTTTGATTCTGTAAATAAATGACCGCATTCATTTTGATGGGTCAAATATAAATGACGTCTCACGTTTGCATTTCATTAAATTCAATGCACGTTTTATTCAGTTCAGAAAAATGAGGAATCCGCGTTAATTGATGAATATATCTGAGCATCTGTTCATCTACAATGTGACACATACAACAGCAAGTACGGTAATAAAGTAGAAATGTAGCAGAATAAGCCGACATAGACCAAGAGAGGCTGAATAAGATTATGAAAATCTGAAATTATCTAAAAAAAAAAAAAAAAAGGCTACAAAAAGCTGAAATGAGCAGATAGATGCTTAAAGGAGCATAAATAGTTAGAATTATTATTATTGTTATCATTATTATAAAATAAAATAAAATGCAGTTAAGGGCTAAGAAAAGTAGCTGAATTTAGCAGAAAAAAACTGAATGACAATAAAAGTCCTTCTGTTTCTCTAATAAACTGTGTCAGATCTTTAAAACTTTGGTCTGCAACTCAGACGGTGATGTGCATTTCTTCACATTTGTTTGAAACAACAAAACAGATCGCAAAGATGTTTTTATGTTTGTATCATTGTGAGCCTGTTCTTTTTGTAGCACAAATTAGTCCAACTCATCCGTCAATCTTCAATGAATATTTTAGTGTTTATGTGTCACGTGGAAGCGGTGCATGATGATTCTGCCTCCGAGTTATCAGACCAGTTGGTGTATGGATGTGCCAAAGTGACACCCGGCCCTCCTCCTTACTGGCAGCATTTATTCATCACCAGCAGCGCCCAGTTTCTGTCCTTACCCCCGTTCCTTCGCTGCTCCCCGACTCCAGCTACACGTCACGCCGACCGCTCCGCAGGCGAACAAACGTCCAAATCACAACCTTTACGAGCGGAGCGGGGAGGAGTCAGCCGGAGACGCAAATGTCAGCGGAGTTTGTTTTCCTTCCGACGTCTGTCAGAAGAAAATGTTGGTTTTCTGACGACTTCTGGCACGGAGCGGAAATAACCCCAGAACACAGTTTGGAGCGTCACGGTCCAGTTCAGCAACAACGAGTTTAAATCATAGGAGAGAAAATTAATGATAAAATTTATTGTCCTTTTACACCCACATTTTTCCTCTCAGATAATCAAAAGTTACTAACAAATTGTTTTTATTTGTTTGTTTTTGGTATGTTTTTTACCCTGAAGCTCCACACATGCAGATTTGGCACACTTAATTATATTTATTGACCACCGTCACCATCAGCTGGACTCTCATTTATCACTGAAGTCTAAATCTGTTGCAGGTATTCTTTGAAAAATAAATCTGCTTCGGTTAAGAGTTGGAACATGTTCCTCAGATTAGCTGAAATTAGCACGTTTTTAAAGTCTTGTGGGTTTTTCACATCATGCATGAAGCTAAAAAGAGGCGATTGGTTGACTCAAAAATATTTCCAGATAAGGAATGCATATCTCCTGCCATTTAGTCCACAAACCTTGGAAATGACATCACATGCAATCTCATGCGTTATTGTGAGATGTCACACTCAGACTATTTGTTGTAAATGACTCTCAGCTACTACCACACTGTAGTTTTAGCTACATATCTGTCAGTTTCACTGAGTTACAGCAACTTTCAGATTGTTGACTTTGGCAACAATTTTGACTCAAGTTACCCTAAAGGTTGTAACCAGATATTTGTACTCCAAGAACAATAACTACAGTTTATTTACCTCAAAGTTAAGTAACTTTTTCCTGTAAAGCATCTTTTTTCTATTACACCTGTATCTATGTAGACTTTGTGAGCAGGAGTACTTGAAGGTAAGCCACGACTTCCATTGTGGTGTGTGGCTGCATCTAGGCGTAAGAAGTGTCACTATCATGGGTTGCCATGTTAAAATCCAAGATGGCCACCGCCATATATACCTCTATCGTTTGAGGAAACTTTTTTTCCTTCTTTTGGCTGCTCCCTTCCTCAGGGGTCGCCACATGAACTAACTCATGCCAAGACTTGACTTGTTCTTTTTACGCCCAATGTCCTTCCTGATGCAATCACCGAGCTACCACAGCCCTCTGTGTGGAGGAGAGAGCTGCCATCTAGGGTGCCCGGGGGGGCAGATGATGGGGGTTAAGGGCCTTGCTCAAGGGCCCAGCGCAGGGCGAATGATGGTGGAGGCAGGTGCGGGCGTTTCACCTTTTCCACCCACATTTTTGATGGCGGTCTGAGGGGTTGAACTGGCGACCTTCTGATCACACGCCCAACTCCTCTAACCTCTGCACCACCTTTCACCTCATTTGAGGAAACTGACTTTTAGTTTTTATATTACTTAAAATTAGTTTCCTCAGATGTTTGGTGTGGCCTGTTGGGTGGTTGAAGATTAATCTAAGTTGGTCAAGGCCACCATTGGCCACCCCCTGGCTCCGCCATTGGCCTAGTGGTGGATTTAATCGTTTTCTTCACTCGCCACAGGATTCATCACTCTCCGCCATCTCGCATCAAAAACATTTAGGTTTACTTGCGTTCTCTGTTCAGTTCATCTGCGTGTTTTTGTTGATTTAATCAAAATAAAAACCGTGTTTAGCTGAACGAGCTGAAGGAATGTTTAACACAAAGATGCATCAGTTTCTTCTCAGAGCTGCCGGTCGTCCGACGAGTCTTTGAGAGCTCGTTTTTCTCCGACATGAAGTCAGCCTTCGCACTTTCAAACGTTTTTCAGTGGGAAGTGACAAAACACGGAGGCGAGGAAGCTCGTGACGAGTTGTTTGGATTGAAGACGGTCGTCGTTTGTTTCAGGTCTTTTGAGGGAAACGTGCTGCTCAGTCGTTTTCAAACTCCAGCAAACACATGAAGAAAACCTGATCTGGCCACCCAGCTCAGACACTCTGAGTTTTATGCTCTTTAACTAATCAAACCTCTTTTTTTTTACTTTTGAGCTGAATAAAAAACAAGTCAGACTGTAACGGAGGAGATAATTCGGCATCTTGTCAAGGAATTTTTGACTCCGACGTCGTCCCAGTTCAGAAACATTTCCAGTCACAATCATATCTTGCCGCTTGTGAGACGTGAATAAAGAGTTTAAGCTTTGTTTTGTTGACAGTTTTTAATTAAATTATAATTAATAGTGTGTGATTATCACCTGCTGACATTAAAGCCAGATGATCTGTTAGTAAAATATCGCACAAACTGCTGCACAGATTTTAAAGAAACTTTCAGAACGTAATCAATGAAAGTGCATCTACAACTGATTAACGTAACCCCAGTCAAGATGGCTGCCACAGGAAGTCAACCACAGCAAACACAAAAATATATACAACTCAGTCAGTTCCACAAATAACCTCAAATTCAGTGTGGTAGTAGCTGAGAGTCATTCACATTACATACTCTGAGCGCCAACAGATCATGTGGGAGCTTTGGATAAGAGTCTGGTGTTAACTGTTGGATTCGGACTTGTTTGTCTGTTAGCAAAATATCCCATGAGAATGTATTTTAATGAATCTCACAGGACGTAACCGTTGGATGTGTTTCTGCAGCTGATTAACTTTTAGAGTCAACCCAACACCAAATGGCTACCTCAGCTATTAAACCATAGAAAACACAAAAATACCCACAGATATTAAGCTAAAATGTGATGTGGTAGTAGTTGAGAGTCATCTACAAATACATACTCCAAGCTCTGACAGATTATGTAAATTCTTTATTTGAAACTTTATCTTTTAAAATTAAATTGAACATGTTTATAGTTGAGACTGATCTACATCCCAGTTTCTAGCTGTGAACAATCGTGCATTCAAAAAGATAGATACGACACACTTATACAAATATACTGGTCTTTATATTAGTAATACATTTTTAAATCTTTGTACAGAAAAAAAAAATAATGGTTAGATTTTGCAGTGAATGGGCCTGATTCTAATTTCATTGTACTTTAGTCTAATGATTCTCATTTTCTGAACAGATCCGCTCAAAAAAATCTTTGTTTCCTTTTTTCATTAGTGGTATGTTGAAAAAAATAAAGTTTTGGATCATCTTAAAACGTTTTGTGTGTTTCTCCAGGTTGAAGACGAGGAGGACATCGGTTTTGATGAAGGAGCCACAGAAAGTAAGTTCACTGAATATGCAGCTGAAGAGAAGGAAACGCACTCGTCACTTTTATTTTAAAGATTTTAATGAAACTGAATCTGTTCTCTTGCCTGTTTAGAACAGAGTGTTTAAAACAGAATCTACTTGAAAGGATAAGGCTGTAAACTTCGGTCATTCCTCCAAAACAGGCAGCTAAAATTAATTTAAATGATAAATTGTTCTTAAATTCTGACAGAAAACAATTGTCTGTATGAAGTCAGACGGACAGCAGAGCTCGTCAACAAGCTGCGCTGGAGGATGATTTTAATTTTTGTAGAAAACTGACGTGAGCGAACAGGACTGTTTTTCAATGAGAGCATGTTTCGGTTTCTGCTTGGAGAGTGAAGTCATACAGCTGATTGAGATCTTCAGCTGGCTGTTCGGTGGGTTAAATATGATTTCAGGGCTCAGGTTGGACCAGTTAAAGTAAGATCTTTAGGCTTGATTTACAGGAAAACAGTCGTAAAGTTGTAAAACGAACAGCATTTGCACAGAAACTTCCTGCTTGCTCTCGACAAAGATGCGTTTCCTCCCGCTCCTGCCTCCCTCCTGCTTCTGCTCTCTTGTCCTGTGAAACTTAGCACCTCTCTTTGCACATCTTCTGAATTGTAAATTATGGATCTGGTCAGCTGGTCTCAACACAATTTATAAAATTTTCTCGACAAGAAGACAGGGCAAAGGAGAGCCCTCATGCCCTGAAGGGACACTAGCAGTTGGATACACTATGGATCCCTGGGGGCAGTGGAAGATGGTGTCTGTCCATATTGTCCGCTGAGGATGTAGAAGACACGTACATAATTGGATTTATGATAACAGGATTTCTGCTTTTTGGACTTATTCCGAAGACACTGGCAGCGGTTCTGGCAATTATGAGGCTGCCTGCCTTGTGTGAAGGAATGTGCCGCGCTTCGAGCACTCAAGATGCTTTGTGAGCCAAGACGTAAGCTGGACGTGATTTCTGAGAATCGCAGGCCACTTGCGGCTCCTGGAATTTGCTGGCGTGAAGGAATCGACCTTGGAGAAGGCTACAAGCACAGCCAGGCAGAGTGACCACAAAATGTGGCTGTTTGGAGTCACAACTGAGAGGTAGCAGCAGAACAATGAAGGCAGACATTAAAAAAATAAAATCAAGCAGTCGGCCTGTCCCAAAACAATTGTTATCTGAATCTAGCTTCCCCACTTGGCCTTGAATAGGCAATCTCAAATTTCTCCTGGAGGTTATGTGAACAAGAAGTTTTGCTATGTCCCCCCCCCCCCCACCCGCTCCCTTCCCGAGGACATCTGTGGACCTGTATCAGAGCTGAGTCGGCTGATAGACACTGCACCATCTCTTATCAGGACTATGGAACTATCCTGCAGTGTCAACAGACAACACTGCCTTTGTTGGCCTCCTCATGCATTAATGTATTATGATGTCATTAATATGTTACTGTTTACGTGCAAGGTCTTTTTTTTTGCAACTTTCACACTGTGCCTCAGCCAGGACATAGTGCGAGATACGATTTTTTTTTTAACCACCTCTCCTCGTGTTTCTCTTTTCCTCATCTACTTGTGTCTGTCTGAAACAGGTCTCGCTCGTGAATGAGTCCTCGAGGCTCAATGGGAACTAACCTGTATAAATAAAGGTTGAATGAAAAACATATAAACAAAGGGGTGAGACTTGATGCTAAACGGTGAATTCCTTCCCTCTGACAGGTTATTGCACAGAACAGAAGAAACCAAAGGTCATCTTCATGATGGGTAAGTAAACCAGCTCCAGTTCCTCCTGGCTGCCCTGCACACAAACACATGCAAATCAGCGCTGGTGCAGCCGACCTCATTAGGAAGATAATAACAAGGCGATAATAAGCTGTTGTTGACTGTATCTGTTAGTCAAACAGCCTAATTTAACTCAGACTGCTGCTCAGACGGAAATGTTGTGTTTCGGGTCATTTCTGGTCCATTTGTGCAAAACAAACTATCATTATGCGAAAATAAGAGTCGTGGGAAAGAAAACTGGGCAGAAAAAGAATAAAGAAAGATTTTAAATAAGTCCTGCAGTTGAATCTAAACTTAAAACCAAGTTGAAATTGAGGATGCGCGCTCATAATTCATTTGCACTACTGATGCGCACGGTGGTGCAGTGGTTAGAGCTGCAGCAAGAAGTTTTAACGTTCAATACTGGGCTGCACCCTTACCAAGTGGAGTTTGCATGTTTGAGCAAGTTTTATTCAGGTACTTTAATTTCCTCCTACAGACCAAAAAAAGTTATTTTTTTCTGATTCAGAGGGCTGTGATAGGATTATTAAACAATTATGGAGGCATCTCGTTGCATCCATAATCAAGCCTAAAACAATCCTGAGCTTAGAGAAACTAAACATTTAGCTCAGTGCTGCAGCATAAAACAGGTTGCATTCAAATGAGATTATAAAAGTTAAATGAGTCAAAATGCTGCGAATGAAGAAGTAAGTACAGTAGATGTCCATCATACTGTTTCCATGTCTGACTCGTCTCCATCTTGTCTTCAAATCATTTTCCCTTTAACTTTCTACAAGCTGGAATACCTCCAGACATTTGCTTTCAGCCTGAAGACGCCTCCTGGTCCCCTCTAACTGAAAGTTTGGATCTTATTTACTACAAACCACTTAATGCAGACAAAGCTAAAGTAGTTTCTATGCAGTTCAAAATCACCAATACTTATCACAAAACATTCGGTTCTATAACAAGCAGTAAGCCGATGTCCTTCATCGCCGAGAGAGGTTTGTAGTTTTCAAGATGAGTGTTTTTCTGGACTGGACTTAAACAGAGAAAACAAGGAAACCTTAATGTTTTTGGTGCAGGATAATCAAGTGGGTAAGAGTTACACTGAGAAGAAGGAAAGAGGTGAGTTTTTATTATTTTGCTTGTTCGAGGCGGCGCAGAGTGAGTTCCGAGTAATTTTGTCCACCACCAAGTGAAATGGTGGAGGCAGGGGGTGTCCAGTGGTGGCCTTGGCCCAACATAACATAACATATTTTTGGGCAACAACATATTCTTGGGCCACCCCAACTATTTGAGGAAACAGTACCTGAAAGCATAATTTCCTCAAATGTTGAAGGTGGTGAAAAAGTTAATTATTACACACAGACTGATAGATTTCAAATGTTTATTTATTTTAATTTTGATTATTATAACCGACAACTAATGAAAACCCCAAATTCAGTGTCTCAGAAAATTAGAATATGGTGTAAAGGTTCAATATTGAAGACACCTGGTGCCACACTCTAATCAGCTAATTAACTCAAAACACATGCAAAGGCCTTTAAATCTCTCAGTCTAGTTCTGTAGCTACACAATCATGGGGAAGACTGCTGACTTGACAGCTGTCCAAAAGACAATCATTGACACCTTGCACAAGGAGGGCAAGACACATAAGGTCATTGCTAAAGAGGCTGGCTGTTCACAGAGCTCTGTGTCCAAGCACATTAACAGAGCAGTGAAGGGCAGGAAAAGATGTGGTAGAAAAACATTGTACAAGCAATAGGGATAACCACACCCTAGAGAGGATGGTGAAACAAAACCCATTCCAAAATGTGGGGGAGATTCAAAAAAGAGTGGACTGCAGCTGTGGTCAGTGCTTCAAGAACCACCACGCACAGATGTATGCAAGACATGGCTTTCAGCTGTCACATTCCTTGTGTCAAGCCACTCTTGAACAAGAGAAGCATCAGAAGTGTCTTGCCTGAACTAAAGACAAAAAGGACTGGACTGCTGCTGAGTGGTCCAAAGTTATGGTCTCTGATGAAAGTATATTTTGCATTTCCTTTGGAAATCAAGGTCCCAGAGTCTGGAGGAAGAGAGGAGAGGCACAGAATCCATGTTGCTTGAGGTCCAGTGTCAAGTTTACACAGTCAGTGATGGTTTGGGGGGGGGCATATCATCTGTTGGTCCAATGTGTTTTCTAAGGTCACCGCAGCTATCTACCAGGAAGTTTTAGAGCACTTCATGCTTCCTGTTGCTGACCAACTTTATGGAAATGCAGATTTCATTTTCCAACAGGACTTGGCACCTGCACACACAGTTTAAGGACCATGTTATCCCTGTTCTTAATTGGTCAGCAAACTAGCCTGACCTTAACTCCATAGAAAATCTATGGGGTATTGTGAAGAGGAAGATGCGATACACCAGACCCAACAATTCAGAAGAGCTGAAGGCCACTATCAGAGCAACCTGTAACACCCGAGCAGTGCCACAGGCTGATCGACTCCATGCCACGCCGCATTGCTGCAGTAATCCAGGCAAAAGGAGCCTCAACTAAGTATTGAGTGCTGTACATGCTCATACTTTTCATGTTCATACTTTTCAGTTGGCTAACATTTCTAAAAATCTTTTTTTTTTTTAATGGTCTTAACATTCTAATTTTCTGAGATACTGAATTTGGGGTTTTCATTAGTTATCAGTTATAATCATCAACATTAAGAGGAATAAACATTTGAAATATACAAGCTTAACTTTGTTGACATGGCACCCACTTTTTGATAGGTGCCTTGATGAAGCCACACACCAAAATGAAAGTCAGCTCATTGATAATTTTTTAAGTTATCCAGCTCACATGGTTTACATATATGGATATATGGCAGGAGCCATTTTGGATTTTGTCCTGGAGTTCTAATTTACAGAAGGAACTTTTCTCACACACTAAAATGGAAGTTTGTACTTTGAAGTTATCATGCTCACAACATGAATGGACGGACAGAGGGTATTTCCAATTCCCCCTCACTTTGCAACGGGGGACAAAAATGGAGTCAGCAACCAATCAGACGACGAGAAGAATATTTTATATACCCACCAATTTGAACTAATGTTTAGAGCTTGTAGTGAAAATGTTGCCTGCTGGCGCTCACAAATGTAATACCTTTCCCAGGTTTACCCCGTTTTTAAAGGAGGTGAATCCTGTCAGCTAGAATAAGTCTGCTAATAGTTCAAAGTGCTGCGAGCAGCCCGCAGGCAGAGCTGAGTGTCGGATGTTCGAGTAGAGTACGGCGCTAAATTAAGCCTCTTTGGAAACACGAAGACAACAGCTTCAGATGGAGCAGACCGTTGACTCTTCACCACTGAGGCAAAGAAGACGAGACACCAAACAGGGTCTCTAAAACGCCATTTTCTGCATGATCAAAAGTTGAAAAAGTGTTAGCTGGTGCAGCCGCCACCTCATTAGGTGGTATGAATCCTGTTCAGGAGACACATCCGAGGCTGATTGTTTTTTACGCCGGCGACATTTTCTTCCAATTATCTGCTCCTGCTGAGAGGAAGCTTCTCGTCGGGCCGGCAGCCTGTTTCTCAAATACTCAGACGAGCTGGTGTTAATTAAGCTCAGAGGGGATTTTGTCATGTTAGCCTTCATGTAAAAGAGGTTTCAACACCTGACCTGCCGTGATATCGCCCACTCACACAGGACTCTGATTAAAATCAGATTTTAACAAGCAGATCTTTGTCTGAAAAGCTGATGGGTATAAAGAAGACTTTGTGTTTTCCAGCTCTATCATTAACCTCCATGCCAGCTACAATCCATCCCTGTCTAGCACCGCAACCTAAATGACGGCTAAAAATACGAGAACTCCACATGTGAAACGTGTACAAACACAACTGTGAGGACGTGACAGATTTTACGTGACTGCTTTATCCAGGCTAAAAAAAAACAGTCAGTAAAATACTCAACGAGGAGCTCTGCATCGTTGTAGCATGAAAGGGATCAACTAAATACAGTAGTCCCTCGTTTATCACGGGGGATTCGTACCCTGAAGCTCCGCGATAAGTGAAAAATTGTGGAATAGGAATAGTAGTACAAGTAGTAGTTTATTTGAGTGTATATATATATATATATATATATATATGCATTTTAAACTCTTTCCACTCTCGTGCAATATTCAAAACAATGTTTCTAAACTCTAAACACTCTAAAACAGCAAAGAATATCATGAAATCTACTCTCTGCCTGCGCTTTTGGCCACGCCCACTTCTCTGCTGCAGGAGGAAGCTTCTCCTGCAGTTGTGGGCTGTACACAGGTGCAGCAGGTGCTAAATAATTTAGTATAATTTATTTTAAATAACAATTCCATGCCAATCGTACGACTCATCCATCATTCTGCCAATTGTGTATCATGTCCAATCTTACTTTGAAAAACCACGATAGAGTGCGACCATGAAAAACGAACCACGAAGTAGCGAGGGACTACTGTAGAGAAAAAGAAAATTCCATAAAACATGTAAAACAAGTACAAAATGAGGATAAAATTAACTAAACAAGGCATAGAAAAATAAGAACTGTGAACACAAAATATATGTTTTGCATATATCAGCTTTAATCATGCAACAATAAAAAGAGTAAATTACAATAGTGGTGTGCGATGCTGAAAATTTTGGTATTGATCGGTACCAAGTAAATACAGGTCCAATATCGCTGATACTGACACCGATACGATACTTTAATAATTACGGTGAATTTTGATGACATTTAAGTGTTTTGTGATTTTTCCTTTGGATCATTTATTAGTTAAAACCCAGAATAGAATTAGGCAAAATTTTAAAGTAAATAAAAAATACTTTATTATAATAAACATTTGTTGTTTTTTTCCTGAAAAAATAGAACAAAACTATTTTCCCCAAATCTTGTGATGGCTGGATTTTTTCCCCTTAAACAAAGTGCACAAAATGATCACTCGAGAACAAATTAAAACTTTGTGTTCAGAAACTATGATTATTAAATAATAATCATCCCTTCA